CCCTGTTTCCCCCACGTCCCCCCTCAGCCTCGCCTTCCTTTGTGACCAAACTTGAACACGCAGGCTTGTTGTCAAAACGCTAATCACCGACTGACGACACCACGCTGAGTTCCCTTCGCGCGTGACCAAATACAAGGGACGATCATTTTCTTTTCGGGACGAGGCACTTTTCAGGCAAAAAATTGCGTACTCGCTCTGTCTGTTCATTGGGCGCCTTATGTAAATACTAAATTTCGCGATTCGTCGAGCTTCTTTCGTGTTTTCTTTTTGTCCTATTTACCCCTCTGTTGTGGGAAGTGCAATCCAGAAGGGGAGTGGTAGAAGATTAGTCGATTGCGTTGGAGTTGTTTATGAGCAGAAGTGGAGGAGGAGGAGGAGGATCCACAAGGGCGTTTCAGTTTAGAGTGCGTCATCGGCGGCGCGCCCATGGAAGAAGATTGCGACGCCGCCGTGTATCAAGCACTACTTGCGTGCTTTGGGGGGGGTAGAGAAAGGGGGGGGGAGAAGCGGGTTGCCTACGGGTAGAAGGGGGAAAAAGAAGGTTGCTTAGAGGTAGGAAGGGGAAATCGAAGGTTGCTTATACTAGGGGTAGAAGGGGGGAAACGAAGGTTGCTTAGGGGCTGGCCTCAGCGTGCTATATGTACTTTTTTCACGTTCCTATGTCGAGGGGGTTGTGAAAAAGGACGCTTATAATCAAAAGTAGGTGAGCTTTTCCGTCTGCTCCTGACCATCGGACTAAATCCCAGGTGAAAAAAAAAAAGAAAAAAAAAAAAGAGAAGAGCATGAAGAATTTATGAGCGTTACAAAGGCCTGGCCGCACACAGGCCAGGGACTCGTCCTCTCTTTCCTCCCTCTGCGTATCGCTATGTGGATTGGATGTGTCGAGGGGACAGTATCTGTATATTTTCTCATTCAGCGCCATGAGAGCCGGCAGGTCCTGGTTTGCTAGCGAGGCTCCGAGGGTAAGTATTGAAAGTTGTCTGCGCGAAGTTGTAGTAATGGTGGTAGTCGTAGTAGAGTGATAAACAGAGGCCACGCTGTCTTTCGTGGATGCTTCCACACATGTTCAGTACCCAACCGCACGCACTGAGCTCAGAGAAAAATAGACATAACGAGGGAATGTCTGAGTCATCAAAACAGGCAGGCATCAAAACAGGTGCTTGAATTGTGCTTGCAGGGTGATCGATCCCTCACCCATGTGGGGATGATCTAACAGAGGATACGCGCACCGAGAAGAGAAAATCCCACCGAGCACCCTGCCGTACCCTAGCAAGCACACCGTAGTATTTGCCTTTCATAGCAACACAGATACACGGGGGGAGAGCGAACGCCCAAGCGAGCAAGAGAGCGAAAGCAGAAAGCGAGAAGGGTGTGTTTTTTTTTTTTTTTTTTTTTCTTCTCTTTTTGCCAATTTTGGCGAAGTCCGTGGCTTCCGGAATACGACCTAATCGAGTAGGATTTCGGGGAACTCCTATCTTCTCACGGCTTGGCAGGGAAAATCTGGGCCTCCTTCAATGATAGACAGAGTAGTAGTAATAAGTACTAATAACGATAATAATATAATAACAATAAGAATGATGACAAGTATTAATAACAACAATCGTAATAAAAACAATAGTAATGATAAGAAGAAGAGAATAATAATAATAATAATAGGAATAACACAGGTAGTAAATGTAAATAAAATAATAAAAATAAGAGGAAGAAGAAGAAAAGAAAAGGAGAAAAGAAGAAGACCCGCTTTCCAGCAGGTGCTGCTCCCCACCAGTGGATGGAGCCCCTTCCACGCAGGCCCGCTTAACGAGGATGCTCTTATCACCTCGCTAAGTGACTTACCTGCAACGAAGTCAAAAAAAAAGAAAAAAGAAAAGAAAAAGAAAAGAAAAAAAAAGAAAAAAAAAGAAAAAAAAAAGAAAAAGAAAGAAAAAAAAGAAAAAGAAAAAGAAAAGGGAGAAGATGGTACGTGCTGGATCATCAACATGGACAAACAGAAAGCAAAGAGGAAGAAAGGCTGAACCTTTGTGACTGATGACCGAGAGATTAGAAGGGCGTGACGTGGCGTTCGGCGGGGTTGATTGACAGCAAAAACGGAAGCTTTGCAACGGGGTAGTAGCCGTAATTGCAGATTCGGCTTTTTTTTTTTTTTCATCTTGTTAACAAAACATTGCCTCCATGTATATGTTTTTTTTATTTATCCCATTGCTTGCTTCTTATTCGGAATGATCTTTTTGATCATTGAGAATAACAACTTCCTCGCCATAACTCGACAAATTCAAGCTTACTGACGGCGTAGTACTCACACTGGGGTTTTCATCCATGTATCTGGTCGCAATTACGTATTACAGTCCGACCTGGAGGCATCTGAGCCCCCAACTACGTCCAATGCAGAGCTGATTGAAAAAGGTCCTGGTGTGGGTATGGCCTGCCTTGCGGCCGTGACAATGTCCCCTACTGCCACCACCTCCCTCTTTTATTTAGTGACCGAGGCTCAGGAGTAGGAAGAGAAAATTGGGGTGATTGGGGGCGAGTGCAAGACGATCTCTTGTGCGGTTGATATAGTTGTAAATAAATAGATAATAATTTCCCGGGTCACCCTATTTTCCCGGACGGCCTGGCCGTGCAAGGACCAGGGAAGGTCACATCGAAAGAAAAAAAAAAAAAAAACGAAAAAAACTATGTTATGCAGAAAAATAAACTGAACAACTTTTGCCTCAGGGTCACATCGAAATTCTTTGCCAAATTAAAAAAATAAAAAATAAACTTAACATCTAGGCTACCAGCCGGGTCCCGGGTGGCCAGCCCGTGCAAGGACCAGGGAAGGTCCCAGCAAAAAAAAAAAAAAAAAAAAATCGGAAAAAAAAAACTATGTTATGCAGAAAAATAAACTAAACGACTTTTGCCTCAGGGTCACATCGAAATTCTTCACCAAATTTGGCCCGGCCGGGCAAGTGACCCCGGGCCACTCTGGTAACCTAGCTTAACATTTTTTTTCTTTTTTTTTTTTGGCCCGGCCGGGCAAGTGCCCCCGGGCCACTCTGGTAGCCTAATAAATAAATAAATAAATAAATAAAACAAATCAATATGTAAATAAGGAAATAAATATATAAATAAGTAAATAAATGGACGAGGTTTAGGACGAGAAGGAAGAGGCAAGAAGGGAAACGGCCTTTTATGGAGTATAACTGAACGAACATTTTTTTTTGGGGGGGAAAGGAATACAGCCTTGAGATATCAACATCGAGCTGACCGGCCCTAGGTAATGCAGAAAGGAAATAAATATATAAATAAGTCAATAAATGGACGAGGTTTAGGACGAGAAGGAAGAGGCAAAGAGGGAAACGGCCTTTTATGGAGTATATAACTGAACGAACCTTATTTTTTGGGGGGAAGGGCGACAGCCTTGAGATATCAACATCGAACTGACCGGCCCTAGGTAAAATTCAGAGTTGTAGAATTCCATTCACTCATCTGCTTCCAGTGGAGATATCAATCCGAACTGGGGTCTGTATTTCAACAGTTCAGTTTAGGGGTGTACCAACTGAGCTAGTAGGCCAGTTGGCAGAACGAGCAGTTTGGTCGACGGCCGGGGTGAAGGTCCGACTGGCGAAGAGGATTGGATTAAGCGCCCGAATCTGGACGGGTTTTAGGCAGAGATGCGAAGAATCGGATGCAACAGCGATCTTCTGTACCTCACCGCGAGCACGCCCAGATTCAGGTGTTGCAAGTGGGATCTCGCTCCGGTATGATCCCTTAATCCTGGAAAGTGGGGACCTTACGCCTATGAAAATGTCGAGCAGGAAAATGGATCAAGTGCATCTGTTATGATCAGTTTAATATATCTGGATAAAAGATAAAAAAAAAGGGAAAGAAAATTGGCCTCGCCTCACGGCACACGAGACGAAGAAGAAATCCTCCTCCCCAAAGAAAACGAAAAAGAAACGAATGCATCTGCCCAGAGAAAGTGGCAAGCTACGTTCACTGCTATTCATAGTAACGGATGAACCTTTCCGGTTTGTGAGCCAGATCCACTTGTTTTTCTTTGGTTTTTCGTGTGCCGTGAGGCGAGCCTCCAATGCCGTCCAGGATTACGTGAAGCTGGCATGAAATGGCGGCGGAGTTCCTCCGGCCCAACTAAGGGCCAGATCCCACTAGCCCCTATTGTTCATTTCTGACCGTTGATCTTTGTAATCGAGGGTAAAAAATGAATAATCCAGGGATTCCAGGGTAGTGGGATCTGACCCTAATTCTAGGACCCCTGCCGAACTACTTCTAGGGGCATGGCCCCTGCGCGCAAGGATGACACACATAAAGCGAGAAATGATCCAGGACCGCAAAAAAAAAAAAAAAAAAAAAAAATTGTGTGTGTGGGGGGGCGCCCTACAGTGGTCCCCGAAGTGGTCCCGGAACTGAAGCCATGGATGTGGAGTTTGACGTACAGCTCGGCACAAAATAGTCCTTAGGACAGTTCTATTTTTGTTGTAAAGCACAAAATAGTCCTTGGCTGACTGATGCCGTCAGCAGATTCTTTCCGGGTCGAATTGTGGGGTTCCCCGGCCAGGAATTGGTTTCTTCAAGGAATAAAAGAATGATTTTGTTAAAAAAAAAAAAAAAGTGTTTGAGATTGAAAGTAT